GCAGCATTAGGAGGATACTATGAGGCACCTTTAATTGGGATTTGTTCCTTAGGTGCTGCAACTAATGGTTTAGATGCTATAGGGAACGTTTTAAATCCTGTAGTAACGCCCGATCAAAATGTTCCAATAGGAAGATCAAATTTTTCGTTTAGAGATCGTTTGCTTTCTATTTTTTATTCAATTTGGATCAGAATTTATTATCATTGGCATATTCTCCCTATGGAAGACAAGACTGTAAGGAAGTACTTGGGGAACAACCTTCCATATTTAGGACAAATTGAGAGAAATGTTAGTCTGTTACTGTTGAATAGAAATCAGATATCCCATAGAATAATGCCTGTAGTTCCTGGTGTAATTGAATTTGGGGGACTTAACTATAATAGAGCTGTACAAACTCTAAACCCGGTAAGTATTTTTTTATACAGGGTCCGGCAATAGTGCGTCGGGCATCTGTAGCTCCTATAATAAAAAAGTTAGGAATTTTGTTTAAGTGCAAACCTAAAGTATATACCAGGATGCATTTCAGGAAAATATTTTAACTTCTATAGGGTGACTCAAAAAAGTGTGAGTGGACCTGGATGTTTTTTTTTAAATGGTACACCCTGTATATTATTGCATTTTTGGCTTCCTTGCACATCACTTTACATAACCCTAAGATATGAATAAATATTATTTTATTCATATCTTTTCGATTTCGATAGTTTCAGAGATATTAAAAAATAAACAAAAATATATATTTTTCAACCCTTCTTAAAAAATTATTAAAAATACAAGAACTGTTCTGAAATCAAAACGATATTAGGTATTTACTTTAGATGGTCTGTTCTTACTTTGCTATAAATATGGTAATCGTAAATCATACGGGATGTTCAATATTCTACGCCAAACTTTCTAAAATATTAAACATTTTTTCTTTGTTTTTTTAAATGGAACACCCTGTATATGATTTTTTTATTAGACCGAGAGTTTAAAAATGAACATTTTCTCTATTTAGAGTATTTCAAAATTTTTAACGGTTTCGCAGATACACGCAGTATTATTTCATATGGCGCTTTCAATTGTAAAATACGAGAGAGAGAAATTTTTGGGTGGCTTTGATAAAAATTTACTGTGGAAAATGCCATATGAAATATAAAACCGCAAATATCTGCGAAACCATTAAAAATTTTGAAATACTCTAAATAGAAAAAATGTTCATTTTTTAATTCTCCGTCTAATGAAAAAATAGTATACAGGGTGTTCTATTTAAAAAAACGTCCAACATCCTGTATAATTTACGATTTTCATATTTATAGCAAAGTACAGACCATCTAAAGTAAATACCTAATATATAGTTTTGATTTCAGAACATTTCCTGTATTTTTAATAATTTTTTTAAGAAGGGCTGAAAAAAATATATTTTTGATTTATTTTTTAACATCTCTGAAACTATCAACATGTGTTTATTCATATCTTAGGGTTATGTAAAGTGATCGGAAAGGAAGTCAAAAATGCAATAATATACAGGGATACATATATATAAATAAAACATCCAGGTGCACTCACACTTTTTTGAGCCACTCTATAGAGGTTAAAATATTTTCATGAAATACATCCTGGTATATACTTTAGGTTTGCACTTAAAAAAAATTCTCAAGTTGTTTATTCTAGGAGCTACAGATGCCCGACGTACTATTGCCGGACTCCTGTATATTCTAATTTAGTATATTAGTAGAGTGCCCAGAGATTTTTACCTCGGAATTCAATTACTGTGAATGTATTAATGTAAAACCTTCTGAATTGTGTCTTAGATAAAATACTAAAATGTTTACCCATTTTTTCGTTGCTTTTAATTTTTTATGTTAGTAATTTTAGTACATTCTTAGTTATTTCCTTCTTAATTTTTTGATTTCTAAAACATTTTAAAGTAAATTTATTGAGATAAACGATATATCTATTCTGCTTATATTCTAATCATTGAAATTTTGATTGAAATCGAATTATACAGGGTGACGCGTCATATACGACGCGGTTTCTGCAAGGAGAACAAAAGTTTGTATTGAAGTGAATTTTTGTGAGCTTATGTATGTGAATTTAAAGAATTTTTTAAAAGTCTATAGAGTTCTACAGGGTGTCCCCAAAAAAAGTTACACATCAAAGTTGTGTTTTTTGTAATTGAACACACTAGATATTATTGATATTTTTGAAAAAAATAAAGTTGAGTTTCATTAGAAAGGTATATGACTAAAATGTATAGTTTTTGAAATACATTCAGTGGCACGAAAAATGGGCACCTTAAAACTTTGATGTATTTTAAAGTTTAATATAATTTGTTCTAGTGGGCCGATTTTGATGATTTTTTAAGCAGTATGTAGCCAAATTATTTGACTTTTTAGTATCTCTTTCTAAATTAAAAATTAAATTCCCCATCTGTTAATTATACGATGTTGATATTTTGGTGAAAGTTTGAAACACCCTGTGGAATATGTTAAAAGAGCAAGACATTTAAAAATTTTATCACCTAGATACGTCCTTTCTCGATAGATTTTTTTTTGGTTCACTTCATTAGATTTATTTTTATTGGACATATTCGCTTTTGAAGAAGACACTAACATTTTTTCGTAATTTTTACATTAAGACCAGGCTTTTGCTTTTGATTCTAGTCTACAGATCTAGTAAGTTCTGGTCCCGAAGCAGGCCTTCTTGACACAAGATTTGCTTCATTTAATCTTCTTCTTATAGTCCGTTAGTTAATTTGTACATTCCTTAGGTGCAATTCATTATAAATTTGAAAAGCTGGTAAGCGGCGGTTTCTTAGCGATAAACTTACAATAGTATATAATAGTCGATCGTCACGATTAGAATTTCTCATACGATTGTTCCTGAGCTTCTAGATTGACGTCCTCTTGGACGTGGTCATAATTCAATAACCACTTAGTATACTCTATGGTATTAAGGTATTTTTGAAACCTGGATTTTATAGCAAATTTACTGAACTACACAAATATAGAGCATTTCATTTGAATAATTAAAACTTAACCTGTATATCTAGGTATAAAAAGATTCTTGAAATGTGAGCTACCATTAAACACATATCTTGTAAAATGTTTGAAGTGAAAATCTCAAATAGGAATTCCGATACAGAGATTTTTCGGAACAGGGAGCCATCTTGTATGTATGCATTTGTATATGTGTGTTTATTTAAATACTAAAGTGAAAGCAACGAATTTAAATGGGTAAACTTTGTAATATATCTTATTAACAATACAATGCAAAAAGTTTTATAAAAAATCGTTCACAGTAAATGAATTCCGAGGTTTGTATCCCATAAGGGCTTAAAGCGTTCCACTCAAAGATATTTAAACTCAAGAGATACAATTGTTTACCTTTTTCCTTCATCGGCCATTATTCTATCCTTATTTTCGCATCTCTCTTACACCGAAAACATTTGTCGGATTTACCTGTATATTGGTATTAGTATTCGATTAAGAATGATACCACTCTAATAGATTTCAAGCAATTTGAGAAAATGTGCGAACAAATCGCTACATTTAGCAGCGAATATCTCGAGAACAAAATGTGCAAATCTCAAAAACGAAAGTTTTGTAAAGTACGCGTTTGGGTCTACAAGATAATATGAAATAATCAAAATCGGTTATCCAAAATTTTTTCGTCAAAAAATTTCCTCGGCACTCCCCTGTCGATTTTGTTAAAAATGAAAATGTCTGGAATTGCAACTAAAATATACTTACCGATAGCTTATTTTACGTAGTGAGAGAAACCGCAGAATGATACCGCTCTAATAGATTTCAAGCAATTTGAGTAAATGTGCGAACAAATCGCTACATTTAGCAGCGAATATCTCGAAAACAAAATGTGCAAATCTCAAAAACGAAACAGTTTTTTAAAGTACGTGTTTGGGCCTAAAACAGATTATCAAATAACCAAATCGGTTATACAAAATTTTTTCGTAAAAAAATTTCCTCGGCACCCCCCTGTCGATTTGTTTTGTTATTGCTAATAGAGGGAGTCTCATTCGCCGGAGATGAACAAGGTTTGGAACAAGATATTGAAACTACATTTACTAATACACCCAAATTTTGATATTTTATTTAATAAAATAAAGTAAAAAAAGCTTATTGATTTTTTAATCGTTATTCTTATGCGAAAAGCCATCTTCTAATAAAAAATTATGCCGGTTTTTATTTATTTTGCTATCCTTCCTCAACTAATTTTTTTCCTATTACTATCCTCCCTCAACTTTTTACAATGCGACAAATATGTAAGAGTTATTTTTATTTTTTAAAATTTATTAAACGATTATTTGAATTTCCTTAAAATACTATCGGTCGATCGGCACGCCACTGGAAATTGACCTCAACCGTCTAATCTTTGTAAACAACTACATTGTTGCCGTTGCGCCGATACCCTATTCCCTTCTTTGTCCATTCTCTCTCGCACTCGTTGATTTTTGCAAACCAAAGTGTGATGAAGATTTAGAGCGTTTTATGAATGGATCGTTGTATCTCCCGAGTTTAAATATCTTTGATTCCACTATATTTGTGTTTTTTATTTTGAAGGATTTACAAGATTTCTTGGACAAATCGAATAATGGAGTGATATATTTTAGTTTAGGCGCAGCTATAAAGCTAGTAGACTTTTTATCACCAGATCAAGTTCAAATTTTTAAGTCAGTCTTCAATAAACTTCCTTATAATGTGCTATGGAAATTCGAAAATGACACGATGGAATCAAAACCAGAAAACATTTTTGTCAGCAAATGGTTAAATCAGTCTGTTGTTTTAGGTATGGCCACTTAGATATACTCTTTTTTTAGCCGACCATACCAACAGGTATGGTAGGCTATTAAGATCGACAATTTTTTTTTTAATTTCACTCAAAATGAGTTATTTGGGTCATAAATGACCTAAATACAAAATATTTTCATGGTGTTTGTCTGTCTGTCCGTCTAACAGGATAACTCAAAAACCGCTAAACCGATTTTAACCAAATTTGGCACAAAAATACTGTGGCACCCGAGAATCTGGCCATTAGTTTTTGGTGGGGATGGGGGGTTGGTAAGGGGGTATGAGAGGGGGTTAAGAATTTATAAAAATTGTAACTCCAAAATTACAGTAGCTAGCGAAACGCGATTTTCAATTTAAGATTAGGAATAATATTTGCAACAAAATTTGTAATAACATCAAAATCAGGCAAAGTCGCAGTTTTTGAGATAAAAAAATTGGAAAAATTCCTTTACTTTGAAACTAAAAGAACTGTCTACCAACTTTTTATTAACATATTTAGTATGGGCGGCTATACGTGCCTCCCGGCGCCAATTTTTTTTACACACGGTTATTCACCTCATTTAACACGAAAACTGGTCATTTAACACACAAAAAGAATTGTGAGTGATGAGATTGTTCGAGGATTATTAAAACTACAATTTAAAATTATTTTCAAAAGGTACCGAGTGTCCCAAATCAATAAATAATATTAAAGTTGTATTTTTAAGTGAATTACCCTGTATATTATTACATTTTCAGTTTCTACGATTAGAACAAAGGTAAATTTGATTAAGATTTACCGCACTTAAATCTTACAGTTTTTGAAATATTTACGTTTTCGTGAAAATTCAGTTACCAATTTTAATGCTTCATTTCGCTAGGCGTATTTAAGTTTTTAAAACCAAATATTATACTGAAGTTTTTCTATTTATTAAATTTTGTGTTGCAAAAATTACAGTTGAGGATTGGAACCTTTGGTGTTACACAGCAAAATAAAAACACTAAATCACCACAATACACCAAAACTCTTTTACTTTTACACTGGACGCGCGTTTCGCTAACCATGTTAGTTCAGTTTATAATCATCAAAACCCCGCAGAATGCATAATCTCTAATAGATTTCAAGCAACTTGAGAAAATGTGCGAACAAATCGCTACATATAGCAGCGAATATCTCCAGAACATAAATGTGCAAATCTCAAAACCGAAACAGTTTTGTAAAGTACGCGTTTGGGTCCAACAACATATTTATAAAAATATCAAAATTTTTTTTTTTTTTTTTTTTCGTCAAAAAATCTTCTCAAACGGCACCCCCCTGTCGATTTTGTCAACAAATGAAAAAATGTTTCCGATTGCAACTAAAATACCTTACCGATCAGCTTATTTTCACTTAGGAATCCACTGACATAAAACCCGCCCAGAATGATATCTCTAATAGTTTTCAAGCAATTTGAGAATATGTGCGAACAAATCGCTTCATTTAGCAGCGAATATCCCGAGAACAAAATGTGCAAATCTCAAAACGAAACAGTTTTGTAAAGTACGCGTTTGGGTCCAAAACAGATTATAAAATAAATCAAAATCGGTTATTCCAACATATTATTTTCGCCAAAAAGATTCCTCGCATCCCCCTGTCATTTTTGTCAAAAATGAAAATGTCTCGGATTGCAAATAAAATATACTTACTGATAGCTTATTTTACATAGAATCCACTGACAAAAACCGCAGAATGATATCTCTAATAAATTTCAAGCAATTTGAGAAAATGTGCGAACAAATCGCTATATTTAGCAGCGAATATCTCGAGAACAAAATGTTCAAATCTCAAAAACAAAACAGTTTTGTAAAGTACGCGTTTGGGTCTAAAACAGATTATAAAATAATCAAAATCGGATATCCAAAATTTTTTCGTCAAAAAATTTCCTACGCACCCCCGTGTCGATTTTGTCAAATATTAAAATATCTCTGATTGCAACTAAGATATACTTACCGATAGCTAATTTTACGTAAAATCCACTGACAAAAACCGCAGAATGATATTTCTAATAGATTTCAAGCAATTTGAGAAAATGTGCGAACAAATCGCTACATTTAGCAGCGAATATCTCGAGAACAAAGTGTGCAAATCTCAAAAACGAAACTGTTTTGTAAAGTACGCGTTTGGGTCTACAAGAGAATATAAAATAATCAAAATCGGTTATCCAAAATTTTTTCGTCAAAAAATTTCCTCGGCACCCCCCTGTCGATTTTGTCAAAAATGAAAATGTCTCAGATTGCAACTAAACTATACTTACCGATAGCTTATTTTACTTAGAATCCACTGACAAAACCCGCAGAATGATATCTCTAAGAGATTTCAAGCAATTTGAGAAAATGTGCGAACAAATCGCTACATTTAGCAGCGAATATCTCGAGAACAAAATGTTCAAATCTCAAAAACGAAAAAGTTTTGTAAAGTACGCGTTTGGGTCTACAAGATAATATAAAATAATCAAAATCGGTTATCCAAAATTTTTTCGTCAAAAAATTTCCTCGGCACCCCCCTGTCGATTTTGTCAAAAATGAAAATGTCTCAGATTGCAACTAAACTATACTTACCGATAGCTTATTTTACTTAGAATCCACTGACAAAACCCGCAGAATGATATCTCTAAGAGATTTCAAGCAATTTGAGAAAATGTGCGAACAAATAGACTACATTTAGCAGCGAACATCTCGAGAACAAAATGTGCAAATCTCAAAAACGAAAGAGTTTTGTAAAGTACGCGTTTGGGTCTACAAGATAATATAAAATAATCAAAATCGGTTATCCAAAATTTTTTCGTGAAAAAATTTCCTCGGCACACCCCTGTCGATTTTGTCAAAAATGAAAATGTCTCAGATTGCAACTAAAATATACTTACTGATAGCTTATTTTACTTAGAATCCACTGACAAAAACCGCAGAATATTTCTAATAAATTTCAAGCAATTTGAGAAAATGTGCGAACAAATCGCTACATTTAGCAGCGAATATCTCGAGAACAAAATATGCAAATCTCAAAAACGAAACAGTTTTGTAAAGTACGCGTTTGGGTCTACAAGATAATATAAAATAATCAAAATCGGTTTTCCAAAATTTTTTCGTCAAAAAATTTCCTCGGCACCCCCCGTCGATTTTGTCAAAAATAAAAATGTCTCAGATTGCAACTAATCTATACTTACCGATAGCTTATTTTACTTAGAATCCACTGACAAAAACCGCAGAATGATATCTCTAAGAGATTTCAAGCAATTTGAGAAAATGTGCGAACAAATCGCTACATTTAGCAGCGAATATCTCGAGAACAAAATGTGCAAATCTCAAAAACGAAACAGTTTTGTAAAGTACGCGTTTGGGTCTACAAGATAATATAAAATAATCAAAATCGGTTATCCAAAATTTTTTCGTCAAAAAATTTCCTCGGCACCCCCTTGTCGATTTTGTCAAAAATGAAAATGTCTCAGATTGCAACTAAACTATACTTACCGATAGCTTATTTTACTTAGAATCCACTGACAAAAACCGCAGAATGATATCTCTAAGAGATTTCAAGCAATTTGAGAAAATGTGCGAACAAATCGCTACATTTAGCAGCGAATATCTCGAGAACAAAATGTGCAAATCTCAAAAACGAAACAGTTTTGTAAAGTACGCGTTTGGGTCTACAAGATAATATAAAATAATCAAAATCGGTTATCCAAAATTTTTTCGTCAAAAAATTTCCTCGGCACCCCCTTGTCGATTTTGTCAAAAATGAAAATGTCTCAGATTGCAACTAAACTATACTTACCGATAGCTTATTTTACTTAGAATCCACTGACAAAAACCGCAGAATGATATCTCTAAGAGATTTCAAGCAATTTGAGAAAATGTGCGAACAAATCGCTACATTTAGCAGCGAATATCTCGAGAACAAAATGTGCAAATCTCAAAAACGAAACAGTTTTGTAAAGTACGCGTTTGGGTCTACAAGATAATATAAAATAATCAAAATCGGTTATCCAAAATTTTTTCGTCAAAAAATTTCCTCGGCATCCCCCTGTCGATTTTGTCAAAAATGAAAATATTTCTGATTGCAACTAAACTATACTTACTGATAGCTTATTTTACTTAGAATCCACTGACAAAAACCGCAGAATATTTCTAATAAATTTCAAGCAATTTGAGAAAATGTGCGAACAAATCGCTACATTTAGCAGCGAATATCTCGAGAACAAAATGTGCAAATCTCAAAAACGAAACAGTTTTGTAAAGTACGCGTTTGGGTCTAAAACACATTATAAAATAATCAAAATCGGTTATCCAAATTTATTCCGTCAAAAAATTTCCGCTTCAGCCCCCTGTCGATTTTGTCAAATATGAAAATGTCTCGGATTGCAACTAAAATATACTTACCGATAGCTAATTTTACGTAGAATCCGCTGACAAAAACCGCTGAATGATATCTCTAAAACATTTCAAGAAATTTGAGAAAATGTGCGAACAAATCGCTACATTTAGCAGCGAATATCTCGAGAACAAAATGTGCAAATCTGAAAAACGAAACAGTTTTGTAAAGTACGCGTTTGGGTCAACAACATATTATAAAATAATCAAAATCGGTTATCCAAAATTTTTTCGTCAAAAAATTTCCTCGGCATCCCCCTGTCGATTTTGTCGAAAATGAAAATATTTCTGATTGAAACTAAAATATACTTACCGATAGCTAATTTTACGTAAAATCCACTGACAAAAACCGCAGAATGATATCTCTAATAAATTTCAAGCAATTTGAGAAAATGTGCGAACAATTCGCTTGATTTAGCAGCGAATATCTCGAGAACAAAATGTGCAAATCTCAAAAACAAAACAGTTTTGTAAAGTACGCGTTTGGGTCTAAAACAGATTATAAAATAATCAAAATCGGATATCCAAAATTTTTTCGTCAAAAAATTTCCTACGCACCCCCGTGTCGATTTTGTCAAAAATAAAAATGTCTCAGATTGCAACTAATCTATACTTACCGATAGCTT